CTAATAAGTCAAAGTCAAATCCTAAACTCGTTAAATCCTAATTGGTCAAAGATTAACCCTAATCTTCATTAAACCTAATTCGGTCAAATCCAAATTTAACATAATATAAAATATTTATTCACACTCTACATAATTTTTACTAATTTTATCACTATTTTTGATAATTTATTTGTTTTTACATACTATAATAATCTAACTAATTTAATTATATTATGTTAAATAATCGTTAATCTAACTAATTCCACTCTCAAAACCCAGCCTTGCTACATTTATTCCCTTAACTATTTTGACCAAAAAAAAGAGTGACCTAAAGTGATTATACTTAAATGACGGACACAAAAACAGAAATTAAGAATAACCTAAAATAATTACCTTGTACGTGATATTTTATAATTATTTAAAGGTTTGTTTAAAGTGATTAAATTCACCTATTGGGGACAAACAAGGAAATTAAGAAAACTCTAAACTTACCTTAATTAAAATAAAATTTTCGTTGGCGATACCAAGTTACCAACTAGCAATCAGAAGAGGGAATCAAGTTAATTACCCAATTACACATTAGGTTATGCAATTAGAGAGAATCAAGTTAATTATTAAAAAATTATCTTAAGTGATTACTAGCTTTTGGCCCGCACATTGTGCGAGTAAATTCTATTTTTTCATTAACATTAATCAATTTCAATTTAGTATTTAAAAATTTTGCTGTGTCATTCTATAATTTTTGTAGTATCAGTATTGAAAATTGTATAAAAGTATTAGTGTTTTCTAATATTCGTAAGATTTCTTGTGTAATTTGTGATTATAAATTATTTTTTTATGAGTGGTAATCAAAATAATCTTTCTAATTAATTATTATATTGGATAAGTTGTATTTGAAAGCTTATATTACAATATTTTGCATAGTTATAACATTTTATTTTTCTCACATGATGATAGTTGACATAGCTTTGAAAATGATAATAAATAGCTTTTGTTTAGGAGTAAAATACAATGATTGTGAAACTACAGTAGGTAATACCGAAAAAGTCAATAACATTATATTTTGTGTTAAAATTATTGTTTAACTGTAGTTCAGCCATTTCCTATTGTTAAAATCACTTATCAATTTGAATTTGTATTCGGTATTTCTATTTCGACTAATCGATACATAGGATTTCTTATTTGTAAGCATCCGTAAAAGAGAGAGAAAAGAGCTTTCTGGTTGAACGATAAAAAATTCCTAATTCTAGTATTCTACACAACCCCCAATTAGCGCAGGAGAGAGATTAAAATATTATGAAGAGAATTAATTATCAAATTATTAAAAAACACTAAATAACCCTAGAAAAACTATAGCCTGCAAAAATTGTAACCACCAGAAGGCGGATCTGGTGACTAAGGGGGTGCTTAGTCACTTGACTAAGTCCCTCCCAGTCATTAGATCTGGACACACCAATCTGACGGTTAAAAAGTGGGAATGGCTATTTATTTAATGACAGGGGTAGTTTGGGTATTATGGAAAATTCTGAAGTATACAAACTGGCTTACAAACATACGAACAATACAAACTAGAGCGACAAAACATACAAACAGATTTACAAAACAATACGAAACATACGAACTATACAAACAATACAAACTAGACTGACAAACATTACAAAACATACTAACAATACAAAATGTCACTACTTATTACAATACAAAACAGTAACTTAGTATTATAAATCAATGAACACGTACAAAGTATACAAATCACAACATAAAGTATACAGACAAACAAACATTACAAACTATAATTTATACAAATTAGTCATATAAACATTACAAACATAATAGATAAAAATGACAAACTCGAATGATAAACAATACAAACCGAATTGACACAAAATCACAAAACATACTTACAAAATCGTTCGACAAACATAGCAAAACAGACGCTGTCACCAAAAAATCCTCTCCGCTGCCGAAAAATGTGCTGATGACGAAAAGACATCTCTCTCTCTCTCACACACACACAAATGGTGGCCTGGGACTCAAAATGGACGGCATACAAAAAATGTCGGCCGCCGACAAATCCTAGGCGGCTGAGAACGCCGGGAAATTCTCGGTTGCGGGACGGTCATAGAATCTTTTAATTGTTAATTATATTAAAAAATAAATTAATCATGAACTATGCAATTACTACATAACCCTTCATTAAATTAAATTAATTAGAGCCATTGGGTGGGGCAGCGGTTTTGGACCAAACCGCCCTAACCGCTGCAGTCAACAAAACCGCCTCCAACCCAAGTGGTTTTGGTTGAAAAACGGGATGGGCTGACGGTTTTTTAGAAAGAGTGGTATTTTTGGAATTTTTCAGGATTGGGTGGAAATTTGTAATTTTTTTAAACAGTGATATTTCTAAAAAAATCAATCAGTTATATGTTCAACAAAATTTTCTCGTCACTAAACAATTTCACTTCCTCCTCTTTAACCAATACTCACAAGTACCCTCTTTGAAATCAAACCTTCTTTATCAAGCCCCTATTGTTTCTTGGAGTATAACGGCATTACAACATTGAAAACTCTTATTATCTTAAATTATTGAAGTTTACTTTTTTCTAGGAAGAGAAGTGGAATTTACTATAACATTCAAGTTAGATCGCACATCGACAAACAAGAAAAAAGAGGGATGAGATAACGTGACAACCCCATTAGAGGGTTGTGAGATTGACAAACCATTTTATAACCATAGAATCCATTCTCTCTTTTGTCTCTTTCTTCTTTTTTTCAAATCAATGGTAGATATTGAATTAAGGGTGTTTTTGAACGAAAAAAATTGACCACACTAGATTATTACCCCTATTAATACCCAAAACCCTGCATTCTCTTTTTCCTCCCCCTCTCTCACGCCATCACACTGTCTTCTTCTTCTTCCTCCCATCTCTTCCCTCTCTCTCTGCCGGCTGTCACCACCACCGCCGCAGCCCTTCCGTCGTACCGCCCTACGCCTCCCACCACCACCGCAGCCATCGCGATCTCCTCCTCACACCACCGCCGTGTCATCACCCTCTCCCTATCGCAACCCTCTCGCTGCCCTCCGTCTCCCAACATCGCTGTCGTCGCGAGGTCACCGCCTCTCCCTGCCTCCCTCTTTCCTCATCCCCGATTTTTTTTTCAGATCTGTGATTTTTCATATTTCATATCTGGTTTTTTTGCGTTAGTTTCTAGTGGTACGCTACCAGTGGCATTGGTACCGGTACCAGTGGTAATGGTAGCATACCACTACTGCTGATAGCACTACCAGTGAGTAGTAGTATCATACCAATACCAGTAATAGTGTACCACTAGAAGTGGTACTTTTTTGCAGGTGGCCGGAGTGAGTCTGATCGAAGGATTTCACCGACAAAAAGTCTGCTGGTCAGAGAAAGTTTGGCGGTCAGGGCGAAGAGAGATAGAGAAAGATTCAAGTGTATTAATTGTAGGGTTTAACTTTTTTTTAAAGTATGTATTTAATATGGATTTTTAATTCTCAATGTGTAATTAATACAAAATAATTAATTAATACATTCATCTTTTTTCATACCCAAAATACCCTTGGTTGTCAAACCCACTTAGGAGTTGTCACCATATCCATCCCTGAAAAAAGATACATAAACCATAAGGAATAATCCAACATTAAATGATAATACTTGTTTTGGGGACCGGTTAGCGTGATTACCCCCTAAATGGGTCTGATTTTCGACACCCATCTTCTTTACCGTCCATTCTCAATAGTCTTAATCTAATGGTAGGAAGTAAACAGTTGGTAATTTGTAATTAATTACATCGGAAAGGGAAAAAGTCCTGGTTCACACGCATAATTTAAAATTCATTCCCCCTTACCTTTTTTATTTCACGGTTTCATTTTCCTTCTCTCTCTCTCTCTGTTCAGAACCCAACTGTAACCCTTCGCCGTTGACTCATCTAATCACTATCCCCCGCCGTAACCCATCCTTTCCTTGACAAACAGCGGTCGGGCCATCCCTCCCGTCGGAAGTCCTCCGTCTTCCATCCCAAACCATCAACTTCAAACCTGCTTGATCGACCCCCGTCGACGATCGTCTATCTGCGACAGAGCCTAAATAAGCCGATAGTGGCGGCGACATGATTTTCCTAAGGTGAGGCAATTATACTTGAACGACCACAATTCATCTCCCAATTCATATATTTATTCGTCTCCTTCAGTATGGTATTGCACGACAGTTGTAGATTTTTCGCTGTGTTTATTTATGCATGCAGTGGTAGTTCTATCACTTTAGTGGTAGATTGATCAAAACAGTCGTAGATATATCATTGCAGTGACATAGTTTCTCAGAAGTTGCAGTGGTAGATCTATCGTTGCAGTTGTAAATCTATCAGTGCAGTGACATCGTGTGTCTATCGTTGCATTGGTAGATCTTGCACATACAGTGGTAGATCTATCGCTGGAGTGATACAAATATCACTACAATGGTAATTCGTTGTAATGTTTTTGTGTGTAGGGCTATCGCTGCAGTGGTATTTACAAAATCATTTTGGTTGTTTAAACTTTAAAGTACCACTACATTGGTAGTTATGTTAGTTCTTAGTATTGACTTATTTTCTAATGAAACTAGGAATGGCAAGGACGAAGAGAACGAGTCCTGAGGTGCCAGCAGGCAATAAACCTGCGGGCCAGAATCCTGGGGGCCATAAGGCTGCTGGCAAGAAGCCTGCAACCTATGTTTCCAGACAGGTGGAAGTTGGGGTAAATCAGTCTCGATCCCCATCATTCCCGACGACCGTGTAGTGATGAAGCAAACATATCGTTCCCGACGGCAATGGAGAGAAATAGCAGAGGAGGGAGGGGGGAAATAGAAACCAGGAGAATGGGAGTAGAAAAACCACAATCCCCATCCAGCTAAATTGCCCCTTCCCATTCATAATTAATATGACAGTTAAGCCTTTCTCCGTTCATATTTATTAAAACATCCATTAATACTTGTCTAATAATTAAGTGTAAAACGGACCAATCAAAAAGAGGGTGTCAAAAAACAAACCCCTGTAAGGGTTAGCACAGTATCCGACCCCCTTGTTTTGAGGTGAAAAGATTAATACTGCTGAGAACTCTAAAATTAAATGCAATCATGATGGAGTTGCTTATAGATGAGTAACCTTTAAAAAGGTCGTCATGATACACCTAAAAACAAAACCATACGGGTTATACCCACAGCAGATCAATATCTTAATTAGAAAAAGGGTAAAATGTTATAATTACTTTGACAATTAGGCTATGTAAAAAAGAAATTATCTAGTATCAGTGCGGTTCTCTCCAGTAGCATGTCTGTAGGCGTTGCACTTATCCAACAACGAGATCTGATCAGGAGATAGGGATAATGAGCCGCCAGTCAAGTAATGTTGAGATGCCCGCGTCCTGCAATAATGAAGATTAAATTGTGTAATGGAGAAAGTGAAGTAAACAGACGCAGGACTTGTCATCAAGAGGCTCAGACAACAAGTAATCAGTAATCAAATATTTCCCATTATCGTGTTCTTAAATGCAGGTAGTTACTTACTTCCGTCTTCTTGTTAAACAATTGCCTTGTTCCGATAAACGAGAAGCTTCTGATCTTGATATGTGGCTCAGTGTGGAAAGATAATCCTGAAATGATTCACCTTTGATTGTAGAATGTGATTTTGAGGGGACAATGGAACGAACTATGTCGAACATAAGAGAGTGGTTCTCCCCACTGCAAGCAAATAAGACGAGCAATTAGTCAAGTAGATCAATATGAGCCATGTCAAGTGATATACAAGAGAACTATGCTGCCAGGACTTTACTTTTTTAGATAATTGTTGACCCCAAAAGTTCGAACCTAGGGTTGAATTTTATCTGCCACATTACCATTAGGATAACCATTGCAAGAGAATCATGCTGCAATGACTTCTCATCTCGAACATTTCTACTCCTCACTTGAAATTTCTCAGCATGTCATTATTATACATATCATCATTCATCCATGTCAGTCCAATCATTTTAAAATAATGTGAGCACTAGTGAGGGTGGATTGACTAATCAGAACAGTGGCCATACCTCTTTGCCAATCCTCCTTCAGATAGTCTATCCGTTATATCGGGCTCACTATGTGATGCCATTCTCGCGCTTGGAACTTCTCCCATCATGGAGGAATCAGCTTCCACCATGCTGCCGATAGACAACATTTCCGAAGTCAAATTTATTTTGTCTTGACCCATTTTTAACCTCAAACCGTTAATGTCATCAACATAGCAGTCAAAACCATGCTGCACAATGTTAGACGTCATCTCTCGCTGCTCAACATGCCACCTGAATGGATCTGATGCCTCAGAAAGAGCAATATAGAGCTCCGATGAACCCTATAACAAAACACTATCAATACCACAAACACAGGAGACAGAAGCAAAAATGTATGCCAAACTAAAACTTACAGGCAAATAGCAATTTGACAGCAATATCTCGGCTTCTGAAACAAGATTGCTCATTCCACAAGCAATCCTGACGATGCCTGGTGCATTTTTATCTTCCGATGCAACCAAATTTCTTAGTTCTGAATGAGGGTGACGAAGTTTTCTCCAGGTCTCTCGAACCATGTCAGCCTCATCCAAGCTTCCAAGTTCTGCTGCTGCTGCCGAGCATTTCTTATTGAAATCAATTCGGCTACACTCGTCCATCAATTGGTAATCCTCGGCAACGACTCCCATAAAATCAGTTTGTGAATCTTCAGTCTCTTGAAATGATGAGGTAGGCACGAGTTGATTGCAAGTGGTTCCCAAAATTTCAGAGATTCTACAAGGTTCAGATATGCAGTCATCCAGACATTCTTCCACTGGCGATAGATTGAGATCAAACCCATTGGTAACTGACACTTCTTCCAAAGTAGAAGTCACTTGATCAACTGACAATCTTGTGTCATCATCAATGTTGGTCTCTGGAACAAATGACGACTCTGGTACACATGAGATATCAATTGATCGGCAGATCTGATTTGAGTGTAAATCTACTGCATTTTCTGAATTCTGGTAACAGTGTTCCTTCACTTCCTCTGCTGTAAAACTCGATTGAACATCAGCTTGTCTGCTAGAATAGTTTTTCCTACTCATGTCATCACTGGGAATTTCGCCTAGAATTAAAATATTTCCAGTATCATCTTCGGAATCTGAAGATACTACATGATCAAGCTTTCTTCTACCATTTCGCCTGGAAAATGAAACTGGGCTAGTTGAGGTAACGAAAGCATCATGTATTGCACCGAGACCAGTGAAGTTACTGCAATCATATTCAAGGCAATTCCTATCTAACATTGCTTTCTTCTTGGCCTCTGTACTGTCCTTTGTAAATCCACATGCCACCAAATCGCCATGCATTGCTTTCGATTTTACTTCTATGACCCTCACAGCAAGATCCTTCTCTTCTGACTGTAATAGCGACTTTGTGATCTCTTTCTCAATCAACTCCGAAAACTGAGAAGGACAATCCCAGGGAATCATCTTTGGCAGTAATTGATGAGCAGCGTCAGGAGAAAAGATCAATGGTCCCAATAATTTTGGAGTGCCTGAACTCAAGATGTTAGGTTCTAGGGAATGCACAGGGATAAGGAACACATGCATCAGTCATAATTTAGTGGTGCTTCGCTCAGTTTTTTAATAGCAAGCTACCTTTTCATCCATCCATAATAAATTAGTTTATTCTCAAGATTCATCAAGGGTCCAGAGGGAAAACTAACACTTCAGCATAAATAGAAATGAAAAGATCTACACATTACACAATCAGATCCAGTAAGAACACCAACAATGAAACACCACAAAGTGGAACTGCTTGTCAATTTACCTGTTTCCCTGGATCGTTTACCCTGGCACCAAAACTGGGCATGCATTATTGCCTTCCTAATATCTCCATGACAACATTCAACTATTTGCTCAATGACATCACGTCTGGGATCAGCTGTTTCTGAAGAACAAACCTATGGAGACAAAATTGAGTTGTCAACATGGGATGATTGTCTCATAGACAGGCAAAGATGTAAGCAGATCACCGACCTTATAGACATGCTGAAGGAGATCCTTGCCTGTAGGCATCTTAAAATTCACATAAAGCCTATCCAATTTTTCAGGAAGGGCAGGATTGTCACCTGTTAATTACCAAAATCATGAAAAAGGAACAACAAGATAGATGTACTTATGTGCCAAGAATAGACAAGGAGTAATTGAAATCCATGGAGACATTCATACTGTTACTGGTCAATATAACAGGGCCTTTCGCATTGTGAGCAATGTGTTGGATAGCAGAAACGAAACCAGCATCTTCGGGGAAGACAACTTCGACATCCTCAAAGAGAATCAATGTTTTAGTTGTATTGTCAGACTTCCCACAGGTTTCAGTGAGTTCATAAATGTTCTGCTCGCCTGCTTTAGATTCCAAGTCAAAGACCTTGTTCTCGTGCTCTTGCATCAGTTCATTATCTGGATGGGTAAAGGAGGATTTCATGAAGTGTCGTGGTGGCTTCACAGGACTCTCTAATGACCTGGCAGACATGTCACATAAGAAAAATTATCATACGACATCAATGCTTTATCATTCAGAAGTACAGTAACTTACAGGAGAATCAGTAGTATATGTTATCAATATGTGCAGGACACTGCTAGGTGTACAAACCTTTTAAAGAATTGTGACTCCAATGCCTCACCAAACCTATGCTTCACAACAACACCATTTCGACATTCTGATGTACTGACCTAGATAAGAATATAAGCTTTCTTTGATGTGATAGTCGAGTAATAAAGGGAAGTTACAAGGACATCAAACATATTATGCGGAAGTTGGGGGGGGGGGGGGGGGGGGGGAGAGAGAATTTCAACCACCTCCAAGATTTTGTAACCCTGTTCCTTAGCACAAGCATAAATTGCCGCTGATTTCCCACTCTGCAACGAAGAGAAATCTTATTTACCATGACTGGAAACAAATTAGAGCGCAACAGAAAGTAGAAAGCAGTTACACGTACAGAATAAGTAATCCAATGATCACAAAAGGAGAATGGAGAAAGCTCAAAACATTCCAAAAGGAAACTGCAATGCAGTCTACCCAGAATTTTGCGGCAGAAAGAGGAAGTGATAATAAGTGGTTGATGCCGGGATTTTCTTTTGGGGTTGGGGGTTTGTAAAAATCAACAGTAATTCCAAGATTTAAACATTAATGACTCAACAGAACCTACACAACTAGAATAACAGATATGATTATATATCTACAAATGATTCCTATAAAAAAGAATCACTGTTGACCATTAATGAATGAACAGAACCTTATACATATTTGCAAAGTTGGACAACAGGAATGAAGACATCGAGACTTATTATTTACCCCTGCTGGTCCAGTTATCAATAGAACTGGCTTACGGCTACCCATTTCTTCTATGTCCTCTGAGTCACTTTGGGAGCACAAGTAGTCAGTATCTTGCTCATCTAAATCAATCTCAGAAGCACAAAATTTGCTGGCACCATCGCCCTTTTGATGCCAGCTGTGAAGCCACTCATTCACAAAATTCACCGCTTCAATGTTACTAAAAACCTGCAGGAAATTTCCAGAACATAAATTACAATGACGGAATTCAGAGGAAACCAAACGACGGAGTAAGGTTCCTAACATCTAACCTCTCTGACCATCTTTGGCTGGTATTTGTCAGTCCATAATCTATTATCAACCTGGCTTTCACCATCAAGACAATGTGGTGTCACTCTGCAAATGCAGTAACACGAAATTCATAATTTTGCTAAAATAGAATGCGGCAACTCAAGGAATCAAGAATGATATCAGAAAAAATCTTCTAATATATACAGTAGCATCCGGAGTATCTTTGTGATAATGATATTCTAGTGCCTTGTGCAGGTACTAAGCAGCTTCAACCTTAGCTCTCCAACTACTGAAATCACTTTCATAGCAATGACATAATTAGTCTTTGTGATGACCAAGCATGTTCATATCTTTTTACTTTTGTTGGAGTACAAGGATAATAATGTGTAGCAGCAATAGTGAATCCAATTTATGGTCATTCAGAAGCTTTGGATTCAGCAAAAAGTCATGTCTTTTTATACTTTTTGTATCGTAGATTTTAGTTTCATAGCTGTTGAATCTCAAGAAACCGTAGATATTAGATCTCTCGTGAATGGAGAGATCCTTGGATTGTTTAGAATCCAGAGATTCAGCTTCCCATTCTCCAAATGAGCTAGCAACAATGAGAAAGATTGAAATCATGGCTTGTAAATGACTACTCAATACGGAAGCAAGAATGCATATATTAATCCTTCTTGACCGATGTATACTAAGTAAAGCCTTTGAAGGTTTCAGGAACAAGGCTAATAGGATATTGTGAAGTCAAAGTTACTCAGACCAGAGGAATAGCATAAGGCAAAGGTTGGAAGTGGAGAAGAGAAATCGAAACCTCTCGTGCTGCAAAACACTTGGTTCCTCAACACTTTCACCAGTTACTTGTGCACCAAAAGCAGATTCATCAGGCTTGTAGTCCTACCATGACACATTGAATTAGAAGATGAAAACGGAAGCAAGATTTGGCGAAAAATATTAACTTAATCAATAGTCAATAAATTATTTGGTGAGAGAAAATGAACATACTGTTTCCATGTCAGTTATGAGTTGGCAGCAGGTGTCGTTCATATATGATGGAACAGTGGATACGATTGGCAACTCTTCATTTAAAACTTCTCCCTGAGGAAGATGTTGATCTAGAGAAACATTATTATCAGCAACTGACCAACAAGAGAGATCATCCATATGAGGTACAAAAGGAAACCTACTGAACAGTAAATTGTCCGTTGAGGCTTCAAAACGTAATGTGTAGAAATCTTCTACAGTACATGCACTATCTACAAAGGATTTCTCATGAAGTTCCCAGTTCGTCCAATCTAGAGAAGCAGCAGCATCCTGCGAAAAAGAAGTAAGGTAACTCCTTTCTGAGTTGAAATCATAAGTTTGGAACCGGTAATGCATAATAATTCAAGATCCAATCCTAACTAGCAAATGAAAGTAAGAGCCACATATTGAGTTGAAGTTGAAAAACAGTTGACTCTCAACTACAGCTTACTGTAAGCGTTGATAATTTCAAAAATTGTAGTCCAAACCATCCCCACAAGAAGATGAAACTGAAAAATGATAAACAGCCTCACATGACTACTATATTTGCGGGCTTAACCCTCCTTCACTCCTGCGATCCACAAGATAACGCAAAGAACAATATTCGGAATCACCGTGATACATCCTCATTTAAATATTGCATACCTCATCCCTCTCAAATACATGAATAGGTGGCGCTAGAGCTTGGTCAGATCCTCTCAGGACATCGCCCACCACATGATGTCTCTTACTCCCTTTCCATAATGAGAAAAATGGGTGCAATTGCTTCCCAGAATACTTCTGGGAGTACTCCTGAAAAACATAAAGATGGATGGCAATACAAGTTCATGTATTTCACACATTAAGCTAGGGTATTCAATTCGCATCAAAGAGACTGTCAAAGTATCATTCACTGACCTCATCGGCCATTTTAGCCTCCAATCGAACGTTTGGCATAGATGGAGGAGTTACATCAATATCCTCCGTCAGATCAATACCATTGATTGTCTCCTTTTTTGGTGTCGAAACAGCTGATGACCTCCCCTTTGACTGTTTGAACAAAACCATCAATTAAGTGTTCATCCGGATCTTTCAAAGGAATTGACCTCATACAAATAGGAGATATCAGAAAAACTGATGCCAAAATCCAGTAAGCCTCAACCAAATTCTATTATGGGATGCCTGTGCACAGAGTAAGAAGCTAAAGGACAATCGAGCAAGAAAACAGCTAAAATAAACAGCTGCCTACTTCATAAACAACCAAGCAGAAAACAATGTTGGACCTTCTTAGGAGTTCTACTATGAGAACTCGACGCCTTTGCCTTGCGCGCTACTCTCCTCTTGTTTCCTTGACTGCTTCTGCAGTTGTCCCCTTCGTCTCTACCTTCCACACCCTTCAGGTCGCCGTTACACTCTTCATCCTCTAGTTTCTTACTTTCCCCGCCAGATTTAACGCCTTCGGGGGACTTTTTAGGGAACAGCGTAGACTGCACCAGTCTCCGCCGAACCATCCTCCGGATCGGCTGCCTGTCCTCTCCCGAATCCGCGACCACCACTGTCACCGGTCCCTCTCCCTCTCCCTCAGCTGATCGATCCATGGGGGCCGTCAAACTCTAGAGAAGTGAATTAGGGTTTGTGGGGAAATTGGGGTTTCTGGAAACGGAACAACGCCTTTGTTGGATGGAATATGGATTTGGGCGATAGCGGGTATAAGATTCTCTTCCCGCCTTAACAACAAGGGTAGACGAGTTTGTGTTGTTAAGAGCTCAGATAAGATATATGTAAATAATCCTCAGTCGAAAAAAAATGTAAATAATTCATATGTTTCTGTCAAAAAGCAAATAGAAAGAAAGTTCAAGTCTATTAAGTTAACCCTTCTTTTCTTTTTCCTTTTTATACCTGCATTCTTTTCTTTTTCATTTTGGTCTTTCCCGCCTTTTCTCTTTTTTTGGTAGGTTGGTCGCCGGATTCTCTCTCTTTTTTTTACAATATTCGCAGACTTAATTCGGAGCGGAAATGTTAGAGTGCTAACACCAATTTATTAGCATGATACTAACGCTAACTTCGTGATGCTATGCATTAATTATGCATCATCACAAGTATCTTGAAGCAGTCCACAAAATTAGACCAGAAACACAACAAATCATATCACAAGTAGCATAAAGCTTATAAGCATATGATTCAAGCCATTTTATACATATTTATACCCTTTTATCTTTGTCGTTTTACTAGTGTAACATCGTCCTTTGAGCGATTTAACACTAGGTTTACTCGTTTTTTAGTATGTTTCAGGCTCTAGCAGGTGGAATGGGCAAAATGATCGAAAGTCATACGAAAATAAAGTGAAAACGTGACCAAGTGTTGGAAATGTCAATGGCAGATTATCACGGGTTTAGACTGTGACGATTACCCCGAAACTCTGACCTATGCAAGTTCCCTGGAGACTTTGGACGTCTCGGGGGTAGTGCAAGGATCACGAGCGCAGGGAGTGAAGGATGTAAGGAAACCGTGAAGTGTAAATGAAAACGGTGAGTTTTGTGTCGACATCAAGGTTTCACTGCACACATCACGGGCTTGACTGGTGGTCGTGAAGATTGCACTGTCAGGTATATATATATAAAGAGAGAGCAGCTTTCAAAGGAGGAGAATTTTAGAGCGAGAATTTGATCTTCTTCTTTGTTCTAGAGAGAGAAAGCGACAAATCAAAGAAGATTGAAAGGGAATTTTAGCTACACAGAGTCAAAGGATGTTTGATTCCATCTTCAACACCATCCGAAACAGTGAAAATGATCGAAAGTCATACGAAAATAAAGTGAAAACGGGACCAAGTGTTGGAAATGTCAAGGGCAGATTATCACGGGTTCAGACTGTGACGATTACCCCGAAACTCTGACCTATGCAAGTTCCCTGGAGACTTTGGACGTCTCGGGGGCAGTGCAAGGATCACGAGCGCAGGGAGTGAAGGATGTAAGGAAACCGTGAAGTGTAAATGAAAACGGTGAGTTTTGTGTCGACATCAAGGTTTCACTGCACACATCACGGGCTTGACTGGTGGTCGTGAAGATTGCACTGTCAGGTATATATATATGAAGAGAGAGCAGCTTTCAAAGGAGGAGAATTTTAGAGCGAGAATTTGATCTTCTTCTTTGTTCTAGAGAGAGAAAGCGACAAATCAAAGAAGATTGAAAGGGAATTTTAGCTACACAGAGTCAAAGGATGTTTGATTCCATCTTCAACACCATCCGAAGCAACTAGGGAGAAGGAACTTCATCTTTTCATGGATTTTTCCTTCTCTATAGTAGTAGTTCTTTCTCTGGGCATGAAGTAGACTATCTATTCACTTAGATGATGTGAACCCTAGTCTAGAATGTTGTAGTTTTGTGGTTCTGAACTCTATGTTGGGATGAGCATGATTGTTTATATATTGATTTAGTATTAATCATGTTAATTGAAGGTCTTTGATCAATTCTCTCAATTTTGGGGCCAATTAACCTAGGTGAGAAAAATTCTCCTTAGGGTAATTTTGGACATTATTCAATCATCGTAAGAGGGCCATGAATGAGGATGATTGGTTTCTTTACGTCATTTCGGGTCATCGCCCAAGGGAGTGGATTTGGTTGCCCTAATTGCCTAATTCGGTGTTTAGAACACCTCTTTGGTTATAACAATTAGTCAGGTTAGGACAACTCGAATAGGGATGCAAATCACACTAGAGTATCACATCATTGATTCATCATGGGATTAGAGGGAAAATCATCCGAATGAAACTTTCTCCACTAAATTCAATCTTTTTTATTTGCTTGCTAGTTTAGTTCAATAGGTTAAAACAACGTTTCTACCGCTAGATAATTTGTTGTTTGCTTACATTGACCGCCCGAGTTTGATAATTCAAAAAATTCTTGTTTTATACTACCCCGGTTGAAGGTTCCGCTTGGGCTTCAATTGGGAGTGTAGTTAGAACCAAGTCAAGCTCTTCTAGCAGCGGTATTATAGAGTAACGAATAATTGTTCGAAAAAAGTGAACTACAGTTAATCTAGCATTTCTTTTCTTGCACTTTGTGTTGGACCTTGCGTGTTGGCTCTTGTCTGTGTTGTTTGAAGTGAGTATAGGTGGTGTATGACCTGGAGCAATCTGGCACCCTTGGAACCGCTAGAAAACAACGTCTACTGGACTCTTCGACTACTTGCTCGTGAGAGGGAGCTAAGGATAGCCAGGGAAAGACTTGGGAATCGTTCTCAACCTAAAGTCGAAGAAGAAGATGAAGTGTTTGTGGTTGGAGATATGGCGAATGAAGCCGCACAAGATGGTGATGAAGCACGACTATGGGATAATATATGACCCCACGTGTGAAGGACATCCAACTTAGCATATCCTACATCCTCCTGTGGTGCCCTACAACTTTGAGATCAAGACCGGTCTCATGAGATCAATGAATGGAATGCCTCAAGAATTACTTAGGTTGAGACTTTTCCCTTACTGTGTGTATCGGGTGGTGCCGGTTATCTAGGGTTTCCCGATGACCTGATACTCTATTTCAAGGGCGAATTGTTGCCTTGTGTCTATGTTGACTTGTTGGCTCTTTGGCCTGGATTGTCCTAGTAGGGACCTTTGTTTGCTCATTTTGCAGGGGAAGATTCAATTGCACAATAGTCGATCGGTGGCGGCTGTCTTGTCCACTAGGTGGCCTTTTGACTAGATTTGATGGAGCACTTGGAAATGACGCCCCTAATGTTGAAGGAACCCTTTGAACACTATAAATATTTAGTTTGATGGTGCGGTCAAGCATAGTCACGAAGGTAGTATTGGCTTTGTGGGATTCCAATCGCCAGGTAATATTTTCTTTGCTTTCGGGAAGTGTTATGAAGGATTGCAAGATCCATTTGTTATATTGGAGGCCATACAGTGGTGCCTGACACATTCCTTTGTCTCTGTCAAATTTCATGGGGATTCACAATAATTGATACGGCGGGATGGTGGGAGGCGACTTGGCGCATGATCGGGGTGGAGCTCTATTTGAGGATACTCGGAGCTTAGTATCTCACTTCAATCGAATTTCTTACTGCTTTGTTTCTCGTCGACTAAATAGGGTTGCCCATCATGTGGCACAAAATGCCCTCTCATCGGGAGTTCGACTATTGGTCGACTCCCGCGTTTTTCTTTCTTCCTCCTTGTGACTATCTTTTCAACACTGACTTTGCGGAAAAAAAAGTGGCAATGCATAAAGTTGGTTTAACAACCGACCTCCTACATCAATTGTCTCTTGGGACGACTTTGTGACAAATTTCATGGCAAGATACTCCTCGCCTTCGAGGGATTTTAGAAGAAAGATCACTCACTTTGCTCAAGAGGAGGATGAAACCTTAAGGGATGCTTGGGAGCGCTATACCAAGCTCTTCCTTCGATGCCCTCACCATGTTTTCGATGAAGACTTGAAGATTGGTACATTCTATAAAGATTAGGTATATTATTAATTCGAAAAGTTAATGGATCAGTATTGTAATTGTCCATAGAGGACGTGGTCAACTGTGTTGACTGGAAACTTACTAATTCGGTACGTGGTACTTTGAAAACTAACATAATTTTTATTTTGGTCGTAACTTGATTAATTGGTGTCCAAACGAGGAACTATCTATGCCTATGGAATCATAGAAGCAAGTGGAAAATTATAAGAGCAAGTTTTGGAAATTACAGAGGCAAACCAGAGCCAGTTTTGATGGAAATAAGGTGAGTGGTTTAAGTGGGTAAATTCTACTCCTTACATGTTTTAAGTTAGGGTTAATATTTTTGTATGGCCTGAACTTTGACCAAAATAAACATCCTGGCCAATTTTTTCGATCTATAACATCCTGGCCCGAACTATACATCAAAATAACTAAATTGGCCAAACCCGACGTTTGACCGTTAACTTGGACGGTCAAACGCGTTGACTAATGGTCAAACACGTTGACTAACGGTCAACGCGCCATGTCACTACACAGTCATCATAAATATCATTAAAATATTCACAATTTTCACCAATTACACATTTACAAATTTTTTCTAAAATCAAAAGAGGAAAATATTTCTTTTTAATCCTCTCACCCCCAAGCACTAGCGATTTGCCTCCCCGCTGGATCCACCATCGCCAAAATACCCCGTCGGCTTCGTCGGTGCTCTTCGGCATCGCCTCCATCGTCGCCTACACAATGCTAGTCCGGTACGTAGCCTACAGTCTCATCCCTCACGAGGTGCTTCTTCCAGTTATCTCCTTCGCCTCCCGCTTCCTCTCCATTCCCTTCTCCAAAATCCTAACCCTCGTCATCGAACAAAATGCCAGGCTTGTCCGCGACGAGCTCTACGAATCAGACAAGATCTACCCCCGAACCAAAATCAGCCGCGCCGTCCGTCGCCTCAAGATTCGAAAAATCCACAAGCAGAAAATGGTCCGCGAACAGCCGAGCTCGAAAGATTGGTCGGCGATTCCTTTTTGGATCTTGTGTCATGTCCTTCGATGGAGTTTACGGGGCGGAGGGAGACCGCAAGCATGGTCGACGAGGCGAAAAAAACCGCCAGTGGTAGATCCGCCTCTGTTGCAGACCAGGAGAGAAGAAGATAGGGATTTCAAGATTGGATGGTTATGTTTAATGTTTGCTTTAATTAATAGCAGAGTTTGATTGGTCTGGAGTTGATTTGGGGTTGGGTGGCGGATGAGAGAGCTCAGAGCTCTCTTTCGAAGAAGAGGTTGGGGTTGGGGGTGTAG